TTCTTTAGTCTCCCTCTTTTCGTTTTACCAAGTCAGGACTCGTCTTGTGATGCAGTTTAATGGTTTCCAGAACATGTATTGTATTCACCTCCAGCCTCTTGTAATTCTTTCCTCAGCTGGAATCAGGCTTGTTCTCTCCCACAGTAGGTTTTTTCTTATGGTATTTGCCCAACAGATATGTATCAGCCTGTGTAGACAAATGTTTATAAATACCTACACTTTTCAGATGATGGTTGTAGTAGTTCTTCAGGTTTCACGTCCATCAGTCAATCAGTCAAAAGCAACAACGCAGGACCAAGCACATATATACATCGGTCCAAGTTGCCACACCACACTGGCACAACAAGACGAACATCAAATTCATAGTAGTTACTGCAATGGTAGTAATATGTAAAAGAAAGATTGTGTACTAGTTCGTAGAAATAAAGGTATAAAGCAATTTTAATCTCAGTCTAAAGGAAAACAAAGAGTGTATACACCCACGCCAAGACGATCGATTCTGAGCCATTTCACCCAGAGTCTCCAGCCATTGGCCACGATAGTCACGCGGACCCCAACCAAGTAATTTGCATATACTAACATGGCTCATATCAGAAGTTAGTGTCTTCAAGCACTGATGCCACGTTTTGGTTTGGCCGCCCCTAACTTCCAACCATCTCCAGCACTAGTCAGCATCGCGCCTCGTGGTAATCGGTGGTTGGGAATGCGTAACACATGGCCAAACCATCTCGGTCAGTGAAAATTCACAACCTCATCAACTGATTTACCATCATTCCCTAATACCCTGCGTCGAACCTCACTATTACTTACCCGGTGATCCCAGCAGACGCCAACAATATTTCTAAGGCATCTGTGGTCAAACACTAGTAGCTCACAAGTATCTTCTACTCCTAATGGCCACGTTTCGCGGCCGTAAATTAGAACAGAACGAACTGCCGCGCAGTATACTCGTCCCTTAGGCAAAAGCCAAACAAGCTTTTCGAATCCGTGTGGAGATTTCGTCAGACACTAACTCATTTGGGCTGATCACACTTCCAAAATGAGTAAAGTTGTCGATGCATTCGACTACTTCACTCTCTATCCTTAATTCAGGTGTTGACGCAGACCAGTCCTGAAGCAACAACGTGCATTTAGATAGAGAGAAACGCATCCGTAACATCCTGTCATTGTTGCTCAGTGCCACCAGAAGACTGCATTTTTTTTAGCGTCTTCACCAAACAGGACTTCGTCCTCCGCGTATCCTAAGTCGATAATTGGACCCCCTGGAAGATCAATCCCTGGAAATTCAGACGACGAAAGCGTTATTTCCATCAGCAGCTCTATGATGAAGTCAGACAAAAATTGAGAAAGTGGACAGCCTTGACGGACACCACTTGAGGTTGCAAAAGTAGATGACAGTTCTCCATAAGCTCTGACTCGACTAGTAGTGTTCGAGTGGAGAGCCTTCACAAGCTTTATGTACTTCTGAGGTGCGTCTTTCAATGACAGACACTGCCACAGAATCTCGCGGTCTACGGAGTCAAATGCTGCTTTTAAATCAAGAAAGACCACCATTGTCGGACGTCGATAATTACGCCTGGGTTCTAGAACCTGACGAATGATGTGTGGTCGATGTAGCCACGGCCATATCTGAAGCCAGTCTGATTTTCTTGTGTTTGCAGTTCACGAGTCTTAGTTAGGTGTCCGATAATCATCGAGGCTAGTATTTTATATACTATATTAGTTGAACTAATCCCTCTATGGATGATTTTAACCCCCTCTTATATATTGGGACGATAAGTGATTGTGACCAGTCATATAGGATTACGTCCAACTCCCAGATCTTAGCTAAAATCTTAGTCAACCTAATCGCTAGAATTGGACCACCATCCTTGAAGACCTCTGGAGCCAATCCATCTAGACCAGCTGCCCTTCCTCGTTTCAGATTAACTATAGTCTTTTGAACTTCAGCTAGAGTTGGGAGAATGGAGGGTAGTTGTAGAGTAGCTGAAGGCCAGCTGAAATCTTCTCTAAAATGTTCCACCCATCGTTCTAAACGTCTGGACTGGGAGCAGATGAGAGTGTCGTCTTTTTCCAAAATAGTCTGACTTCCACTTGACTTATTAATTCCAGTTTCTTTTATCAGTCTGTAAAGCTGTCTTGTGTTCCCCATAGCCGCCACATTTTCCACATCTTTTGCTTTCGTTGCCCACCACTGTTCACAGTCGTCCATTAGACATTTGATTAACTTAGATTTGATTTTTACTCGCTCTTCATCATGTTCCGTACTACAGAACTATCTTGGCTTTCGTGTTGAAGATTCTGACTTTGATATTGTTTGACAGTTATTTCGAATTCCATATGTTCTTCAACTGTAGGAATGCTACTCTTGCTTTACCAATACTTGCCTTCACTATGGAACATTTCAAAATGACCTTAATTTATAATTAGATAAAAATATGATCATAACAATTTATTTACAAGTAAATACTCTATTACTTATTTCTCAAAATTTATAGTTTTGAGTAATTTATGCCTGTTTTCTAAGTTCATTACACACCTTAGAATTTTGATAGATTGATGTGATAATTTGTATGTACCAAACTGGATGTAGTCTTTTATTTAACTATAATATACATAACTAAGCTACTAAGGCATCTGATTATTGTACTAAAAAAGGTTATGCTTATTTTAGGAGCTTTCCCTGTAAAATATAAACTGTAGTGAACTGATGTAAACTTATTGAATTCTCGGATAAAATATCACAACCAAAACTTTGTATTAAGTTGTTTGCAAGCAAACAACGTCCATATAATAATGGACAACAATCCTTCCGGATTCCATGTCAACAGAATAACGAACTATTAATCGATTGTGAAAAAATTCCAATAGCTCACTGCCTTTTGAAATATGTATTGATGACAAGTTGTCTAGTTAAGCAAAGAAAACTTCATAATTCAATCGACCAGCTCAGATAACACAACACCAAACGTGTGATCAGGTTGAAATGTATTTTACTGATACATATCACATCGCTTTGACAAATTTCCTTTGATTGCAAGTTCTACGATGCAAACGCTACTCATTCACCAATTACGTGTTAATACAGCCAGCCTTTAGTTACATTCCTTTATGTCAAGGCTAGCAATACTACAACCAAAATTCAAGCCACTATTCAACTACAAGGACTAACCAATTGATTAGATTTAGGTAGATGAAGTGGTATCAGAGACTAAAATCTAATAAGTGGAAGTTGAGGTTAGTCACGGCTCGGATAGCTCAGTGGTAACGTCTGACTGTGAAGCTGGGTGACACGAGATCGAATCCGCCAGGGAGCACCAGTTCCCTCAAGATTACAGGTACGCCTTGCTGACGAGTGCCAAGTGGCACGAAACCCGGGTCCAGGGTTTCCTGTTGACTACCTCCAACCACCATCTAAATCTCAATACATAGTGCCCGCAGTGTCGAGTCACCTAGACTGGTGGCCACATTGCAACATGATCGATAGCATTCGATCTGCACTAATAAGGACTAGACAAGCATGACATTGATCACCACCCAGTGATCAATCAATTGCGAAGTTGAGTAATTAAACAACCCCACCACAAACTGCTCATTTACGCCTTCAACACGACATCTATACAAATACAAAATCCAAATCACGTTCGAGCAACTACACAATATTAACAGGCCAGTTAACTAGTTTAACTCCGGAATAAAATGATCACAATCTAGAGAAACTGACCAGTGATCGTAATAAAACAAAGACATTCTGTGATTTTTCATTAAAAATACATTCGGTTGTCCCCACCCTATATCCTCGTTCATGACAGTATTATGTAGAAATTAATATTAGCTTAGCATTGAACTGGTTTATTGTGAAAATATTGTTTATAATTCTTATAAAATGTTGAGATAAATGTATTTATTTATTTTGAGCTTGAAACAGATCATCGACTGTTATTAATTAAAGCAAAACAATCCCTTGAAATGTACAATCCCAATGTGATAGTTGCTAATCTTTTACAAACTAGATCAAAAGAAGTATGGTTAGTATTTAAACAGAACAATACACAGGACATAATTGTTGAACATATAAATATGGAGAATAATATTGATGAAATTAATAAACGGCAAATCATATCACAAGAAATTGAATCTATTCTAATTCCTCGATTGATACAACTTCATGAACAAACAATTGATCGAACTATTATTAAATAACATTTTTAACCTTTGTAAAATGATAATCTACTCAGTTTTATTATTCCTTTGAAATAAAATCTAATTGTATATTAGTAATTTATTTATCGGTTGGATTTGAAATGGGGATAGAACCAACAACAAAAAAAGAGGGAAGACAAATGATAAATCTATGTTATATTTTTTTATTACAAAACATAGGTATATATGACCAGTTTTATATTGTAAGTAGTATTTAATGATATACATTGATCGAGAGAGTCGAGAATACAATAACATGTATAAGAGATGGTAAATGAATAAGATTAAGACATTCTTATAATTGAACAGTCATGAAAACATTCACGAAAGAAATTTATCCAAGGAGAAGATAATACTGAAATGGAAAAGAAACAGAATGTTTGATTGGATTAAAAAGTTTAAAAGTAAATATGAGCGTTTATTATTTTAACACATAGATATTGATATAAAGAGGCACCAAATACATATGTGCCACACAAATCTCATTCGATATGTGTGAGGGCTGTGATACAGACCGGGTGCCCAAACCGAAGCAGGTGGTCTTCTTAGGGGGCCACTTCCCGAGCCTGAAGGTCTGATCCACAAGGCAGTGGAGCATCGTAAGGAGATGCAGTCCCATGGAAGCCGGTGACCAACGATTGGTTCATACGCCGTTTGTCCCCGCAGGACACTGGAGCCCATGTGCACCATTGGTTTGGAGTCCGGTTAAAGCGCCGGACATTCGCTTTTCGTCCTCTCATTTTCGTAAACAACACCGCCGCCACGAGAAGGCAGTGAGTAGGACTTCCCTGGCAGAGGCTATATACGCGTGGCCATATGAGTGTAATGCATGAGGATTACTTAATGACCTGTAAATTTGAATCTCTTTATCATTTTACTCAAACAAATATGGATGATAGTATGACAATAATACTATTAACATTTTACACAATATATGTAAGTGTGGATTAGAGTTAACTTTGTCTATAAGGCTGGCTAATGACATTTACTGCATGACTATCTACATTGAAATTGGTGTGAAGTGGTTGTCTGAATATGCAATTCAGTAGTAATTGGGATAGTCAAATGTTTCAAGCATTGAATCACTGACTAATTATTATCACTAGAGTTAATATAACGAGTGAAAATTTAACCTCGTAGTCAAAATCTAACCGCCATATGAGCAATCTGCGTAGCTTGGTCATGGAAGCGGATATCAAAAGGATAAATAGCAACTGAAAAAGATTGCCCAGGACAGAGTTGGATGGAGAATGTTGGTGAGCAGCCTATGCTCCTCAACGAAAGGGCAACAGGCGTAATTAAAATGACCTATTGCGTTGTTTGATTACACTATCATTTACAAGAGCTTATGTTAATAATTCAATTTCGTGAGCAGTTATCACCTGGACGATATGCCTTGGAATATGATGTGTCCTCTATTAACCAATACATATATGTCGCTTTTTTGTCAAAAATATGTTTATCACAAATCTGTGCAATTTGCAAAGACAAATGTGATCGAGTTGTACTTCGCAAATAAGTTAGCTACAAAAAAAGTAGAGACCAATTTGTATGCTAATCACGCAAATTAAAATAGCTATTACTCAATTGGTAAGCAAATCATTAAAAAGTATCATAGTTAATCGATTTTGAACAGACAAAATATATTTCGAAGTATATTACACAACATACATACTACTTTATTACCTCGCTGAAATTATGAATCACTTAGCGCTGCTTGTGCTCGTGAGATTGCAGCTTTAAATTCCTCAGCATCTGTATCAAGCTAAACGATAACGAAAAGGAAAGAAAGAAATAATAACTTTTTTAGAAGGACAATAAAGAAGCGACTCCACAAATAAAACTTTACTGGTAGTATCATATTTATTTAAATGATTAAGATCATGAATCGATCGATACTAGACCACCATAGTAAACCTAGAAGCACTGGACGGCCGTCTCGTCCTGTATGGGACAACAGCAGTGCAAACCCGCGACCCCGCAAGCACGATTCGAACCCAGGAGCTACAGTCTCGCACACGAACTTTTAATCTCTAGGTCACTAAGTCGGTATCCATTGTCGCGCGAGACCGGATGTCCTGGGTTCGAACCCTGCCTGCGGGTTCGTGGATGTGCACTGCTGGACGGTCCTATACTGGGACGGAACGGCCGTCCAGTGCTTTCAGATTTTAAATGGTGGTCTAACATTGATCAACTCATGATCTCAATAGAAAACTTTACAATCCCATACTGATTATCTAAATAAATTGAATTCTACTCTTTTTGTCACACTCACCTTAAATCGAACAGCTAATGTTTCCAGGCTAGCTGAACCTTCACTGTAGTCTTCACCAACCCAACATAGACTATTACCACCAGACATATTACCCATTGGTTTTAACACTGGTATTTCATGACTAATAGGATGATTTAAGCATAATTTTAAAACTTGATCACGACGCATTAAAATACGTGCACGTCCAATGTCAGTTAATTTATATTCTAGAGGGACTACATCACGTGGTCCAAAGTGTTTAGCATCTGTAGGCATAGTGCGAGGTTGTACAAGAACTTTGATTTCACCGACGCCACGTTCTTTCCAGACTTTATCAACATAACGATAGGCACGGCAACGTCGAAGGAAAATACAAAGCTCCTCTTCTTCTCCAGTCTTGACCTGGAATAATAAGAACATATAGATGTGTAGGCAATGAAAACTGCAGTGTTTAATTCTGGTTTTTGAAATCTGAACAGAACTACTATTGTTAAAATTTGGAAGACAATTAAATTGAAAACTATGGATATACTATTGGAAAGAAAGACATACCTCAACAAGTTTTGGCAATGGAACAATCGGTTCATAATGAGGATCATTTTCTGTGTCAGATGTGTCTTCGTCATCTTGTTCAGTTGCTGCCTTGACAGGTTTAGTAAATAGTTGTGCACCTACATTACTCCATGTTGGAGCATTATTCGGTGAACCCCATGTTGGTTGACTGTCTTTAGAGGCAGCACTACTCAACGTTGAAAAACTAATTAAACCCTTGGCTTGTGGGATGTACATGGAAGACGATGAAGAAGCTGACAAGTAGGTGAAAACATCGTTACAATAAATAAATGTAAAGATATTGTGAGCAGTAAAACAAACTATTCAATCACACTGTATTGTTAATATTGTATACTTATTTACAGTTCTCATGATTTAGTGATCTAACAAGAAAATATTTGTCATATAGAAGATATCAGTGGTAGTTGAATGATTAAAACCCTTGGCTTCCAACTAGTAGACCGGACTTTCGAACCTCAGCTTCAAGTGCAATGATTTGGCCAACCATACCTAATAATATCACTAGCCATCATACAAACATTGTAGCTCACTTAAAGCTGAGTATATAGATATTTAGTAAATGAGTTACAATAGTAACAGAGAATATCAGAAAAAAATTTTATAAACAAAAAATGATTTTATTGACTGAATTGTACCCCTACAAATGAGTTCATAATAGTTTTGTATATACAATTGCAACTATGATTTAGCTAGTTATCAAAAATAATCAATATTTATTCCAGCGTTATTAATATTCCAACCTATATCTGATCATCTTGCCGTTCAATTCAGCACTATGAGTAATACACAGAAATTCATGTCCAAATTAATTGACATTTTTCAATCGCATTAGACATGGAACTTAACATATGTGTTATTTATTACTTAAATATTGAAGACTAAACATACGAAGACCGTTGATAAAACATAAGCTTGCTGAATATGTATTTAAAAAAGGAAACTGGTACTTTCGTTGGATTTGCAAAACAAACGCTTACCTGTAACTGCTTTTGTACACTGAACCTCAGTAGTTACGTTTTGCTGTTTAGAAGTCGGTGTGAGTTTAACAGTAGAATCACTATCTGAATGTTCTGTAGTAGTAGTAGTACCACTGTCTCTGTTACTTTTTATAGCAGCTTCTAATAGTGCATCTTCTTCGGCTTCTTCTCGTGCTGTAAGATGCTCTGATTCACCAGTTATGTGACCATTTTCAAAACTGTAAAATTCATCAGGTAATTTAAGTTTACGAGCCCTAGATAATTGATCATCTGAGACCTAGAAATATAAGTATAAAAGACGAAATGTAGCTGTGGAGGGAGAGGGCCAAGAAAGTTTTAATCTACAAGTTAACTTAAATATATCTTAAGAAAATAACATGTGTCAACACCTCACATTAGTACACTATACCCTAGAAACTATAAACATTTGAAAATACGAAACGATGGGATAAATTATTTCAGAACACGTCATCTATGTTTGTTAAACAGATTCATAGTGAGCATAATAAACACTGAACTAACCTTTAAAGGAAGTTCAACGACAACTACGTCAGAGTCCGTATCATCACCATTTTGATCTAGATCCACTGTTTGTTTATTCGACAGTTTTATTTCGCTTGACTGAGATGTTTTGGCACGGTTCTCAGCCGTTTGAACAGCTTCCTCGAAAAGTGATCGAAATTCATCACTATCCTCAGTAAGCTTAAAACGAGCTGCAAATGTCTCACGTTTACCCCCACCAACCAAATCAGACGAGTCAGTTTCGGTCGTTTTGTTAGCTTCATCAGACTGCTCAGAATAATCGATAGCCCACCAACTCCAAGCACGACCACCTCCAGTGTTCATGGGTTTTAAATGCATACCAGCTCCGATCACATGATTACAACATACTTTCAAAACATGATCACGACGCATCAAACAACGTATTACACCAGTTATCGTAGAACGAAGTAATTTTAAGTCACCAACTCCACGTTCATGCCAAGTGTTATTATCCCAACGATAAAGTTTGGCGCGACGACAAAATATAACGTCATCATTTTCTTCTCCGGTTACAACTTCAATCTTTTGTGGCATAACTTCAAGCACAGGTTTAAATGTCAACTTCGAATCATCTAGAAGTTCGACTTTATCGTCATCATTATCGTCGTTATGATGACTACTATTAAGAGTAGGAGTTGAAAAATTAACTGTCGATGGCTTATTCGTTTCATTCAGTTTAGATAATGCGTTACCAAAAGAAAAAGTGAATCCTGAACTGGGTGCAACTGTCTTCTTCTCGTCAGCTGACGCACTGGATGTTAAAGGAGTAGAAAACGTAGGGATCGATGGTGCGCATGTAGAAGAGTTCGTAGTGAATGGAGAAGTAAAAAGGAACGACTTTGTTACTGGTGTTTGAGATGATGATATAGAAGGAAATACATTTGTAAGTTGCTTAGGAGAGGTGGCAACAAAACTGAATATAGGTTTATGTGTTGTTGACGTTGTAACTGTTGCTGTGACTATTGCAACAGAATCAGTAATATTAGCATTAGTAGTAGTAGTAGTAGTAGAAGTAGTATTAGTGGTAGTAGTCATGAACTCTGAACCTTTTGGATTTCCAAATACAAAACCACCAGTATTTTGTAAAATGCCACCAAATAAAGATGTTGAAAGAGTAGATTTAGAAGTAACAGTTGAATGTTCTCCTGAAGAGCCCGGTTTAGCAGTTTGACATGCTGAACACACAGTAATAGACGAGTCATGATACAGTAAACAAGTTGGACATTCCCATGAATCTAATTTAGGAGCAAACTTTGACAGGTCTATGTTCGATGACGGTTTGGTCGATTGAACAGTGTTTTTCGATTTGTCTACTTTTAATGGCTTAGAATTAACATTCAAAGTTGATTGAACACTTTCTGTCACAGGTCCTGATGATTTTACACCAACAGTAGTATCATTTTTGAATGGTGATTTATTAACAGTATCAGATATTAACTTTACGGATGTATTTACAATACTGGTTTCTTTTGTGCATTCAGAGAAGATTCTACTAAAATCATTAAGTATTTCGGGTGATTTAAATTGAATCATAAACAATTCATCGATACCCTCCATAGATTCTGAATAATCTTTAACTGTCCACATAGCCATTTTTTGATCTTTCGTTGAAAGAGTTAGTTTAACTGAAGGAGTAATAAAATGATTTGCGCATAATTTTTTCACCTAAAAAAATGAAGAGGAAAACCAGAAATAAGCAACTAATGTATGGTGTTTAGTAAAATATATCTGGTACAACAATGAAAACAACTATTATCAAACTTTACGTTAACACAAATAAATTCGATTATGGCATCGCAACTTGCTTTAAAAGGCTAGTAGCAAGAGATTTGTTGTAAAAGGAATGCTATGTGAACGATATAAAAAAGCTATATTTAAACATACAACAATCAGATATTGAATGAACAAAAACACATACATACCTGATCACGTCTCATAACTAAGCGACATTTACCAGTTTTTGGATTCTTTAAAATTTTAGCATCACCAAGTCCACGAGTTTTCCAACTCCCACTTGACTTATCCCAATGGAATAGACGAGCACGTTCACAAAATAGACGTTGTTCATCTTCCTCTTCGTTTTTCAATTCAACAAGATCTGGAAGTGTTTCTATGACGGGTGTAAAATGTACATCTGGTTCATAAGCCTCGGGAGATTGTTCGAAATCTTTATCCTTTGATTTGGGTGACGAAATAACAGTACTGAGCTTTGGTTTTTCTTGGACAGATTTAGCTTTTAAAAAATGTGAAATTGTATGAAGTAAACATGTACTAGTTGAAAATATGTAGTGCCTAATTATGAACTGATATATCCGGTACTCAAAAGCTTCATAATGGCTTTTTACCGTCTCTTAATCCTTCACAATTTTTGTACACTTGAACTCCGAACATTCAACAAAAGGCAAGGATTATGAGCAGAAGCTTTACTTTCGGAGTTGATTTCTGTGTTTTTAGGTTTGTGAAGTGATCTTGACATTCTTGAAGTCTGAGAAAACGCCTAATTTAGTGACCAAATAGGAAATGATCCGATCAGAATGTGATACACAATCTTTAGTTTTTCTAGAAACTTTTTCACTGAGCGTTGCTGATTGAGCAATCTCTTTTCAGCTCCTGGGGGCTTTAAACATCAGCATAGCACTAACAACGGAAGTGTGAATAACTACTCACAAACTAGTCAATGGGCAAATCGCCCATGAAATTTTAGGTTCGTGTTGTTTTAAACTTTTAATCTCACTTACTATGTAACAATTGAAGAAACCTATCTTTACAATTCAGTAGTAACCTAAATCCAAAGAAAATATCACGATGTGATTTTGACCATCGCTTAAAATTACTACTAACAAAGCTATTGATAGATTCAATATATATAACGACAAAAGGATTATCTAAAATCAAACATAATATCAAGTTATTTTTTACTGTTAATTCTGTTATAATATATCTAAACTAAGAATACGACAATTATGAAAGAAATGGAAGTTGTTTGATAACAATTATACCAAATGTTAGTTAACTAATTGTTTAGGGTCAAGCATTTTTAACGATGTCTATTTCCGAAAAGACTCAATAAAGTGATCATTTCACACAAATGAATACACTACAAAGAATCTTTAAAAGTAGAAGATGGAACAAGATATATATTCTGACGTTTGTTAAGAAACAATCCGATAAGAAACAAGTAATCAATATGTCAAAAACACTGAGGATCAATTGTAAAAATATTGTATAAAACAAACAAATATCAAATATAATCATAGTACGTTCACGCACTATGCTAATATACTTTCACAACTGCCAACTTTATACAATGAACAAAACTACTTCTAGTCGATCCTTTGGCGATGACCCAAGTATATAAATTGAAAATGCATTTAAGTTAATCGATTATAATTTATCAGTATAGAGATTTGTGAAGATTGTAGTATTTTCATAGATGAAATCACGAGTTGACCCAAGTTAGATCATTATTAAAAGCCTAGAAGCATTGAATAGCCGTTTCTCCCTAGTATAGGAGCAATGCGCATTCACGATCCAGCACGTAGGGCTCGAACCCATGACCTTCAGTCTCGCTTGCGAAAAGCCTAACCTCTAGACCAGAGTCAACATTCAACGACGTTGACGTCTAACTTCAATCAGTGTATTATATATCATTATTATACATTAGTTATAATGATTAGAAATTATGAATTGAGTATTTGTCACTGAACAGAAATCCTAGTTAAAGTAGACGGGAAGTTCATGAGCACAGTTTATCACATTGAATAATGTTACAGAAATTCATTTTAATCTATATTGATTTGTTTTTGCATAAATTCTCTTTGACAATTCTATATTCGTAACAATTCGAGAGTGTTACCTGATAGGAAAAAAGCTACATTGTTTCTTTACGGCTATAACTGTTTTGCACTATGTTACATTACAAGATTTGACAATCTTATGCATTCAATATACGGGACAAACAGAAAATAAGTTTGTAATCCTTGACATAATTTTGATGTGGTTTTTTTTGGTTAGGACAGATAGAATCAATACAGGGATTTGTGTTAAGCACCAGTACAGTTGATACGCTCAATACTTATCAAAAACTTATTTGTAAAGGAATTTCTTTTTGAAGAAAAAAAGAGAACACTAAACTTTGTGACAAGTTTTCGAAAATCAATACACCAAAATCTTTTTGATTGTAAACAAGAATGTTCATAGGATTTCATTGTGTCAATTTTTGATCTAAAGAACGAATGATAGCACAGAAAAACACTCATTATTGGTAATAAAAACCTTAAGAAATAATCGAATAATTAGAAAAGATACATGCGAAAAATACCCGTATTATTTGATTGTATTAATACTTCTGAATGACTTGATAATTGATACTGACTACACGGTGGTACAGGAGCTTGAACAGACGTTGTTAAGCGCGCATCGACAGCAGCACAAGCAGCAGCTGCCATACTCTCTGGAAGCCAATGACGAAGTTCACTAATAGCAACTGAAAGTTCTCGGATTGGATTTTCAAACATATTAACTCCTGGTGGTGCAGTAATATCAATTGAAGGCTTAGTTGAAACAATTCGATTATTTTTTTCAAATTCAATAAATTTATTAACTGCATCTGATAGCTGTTTGCTAGTCTCATTTAATTGCTTAGATAACTGTTCATTAAGCTCTCGACTACGTGTAAGTTCAGCTTTTGTTTCAGCTAACTGACAAGACAGACCACTGACTAAAGTCTGCCAAACACTGATTAGATTAGTTAGACAAGAATCCTAAAATATAATAAAATGGAAAAAAAAAGAGAAAAAAACAGAATCAAGATTTAAACACACTGTTATGTAATAGATAGCATACAGTCATTATGAAAGCACATCAAACAATTCAATCAAAAAGTACAAACAAAGGGGAAAATATCGTGTTCTTTTTACTATAATATTATTCATTATTTTAAAGGAAAGTAACAATATTACAACCAGTATGTTACATAGAAATGAAAAAGATTTAACTATTCTGTGAACAAAGTAAATTAACAAAATCATATCACGTGGTAAACAAAGAAGGAGAGAAGATAGAGAAGAAAAAAGATGCAAAGTATTTATTTGAAGAAATTCATCTACCTGACGATAAGCTGTTGTTGTCATTTGATTAACAGATGGTACACCAGTAGCATTTTGTAGTGATTTGCAAAATTCTGTTAATGAACAAGTAAGAGTTGAGTTAACATTATGGTTAGGATTTTCTGCTGTTATATAAGTTGAACGAATAGGAGTATTAACCGATGAAGGTGATATGAAAGTTTGTGAAGGAGTCTTAATTTGATTGATACTGTTCATTGCATTCACTTGTAAATGTTCTGTATCTTTGTTGTTAGTTGTAACAGAACATGAATTAAGATGTGAATTGTTCATTTGAACTATAGGTGAAACTATAGTAGGTATTTCTTTTGTATCCTATAATGCAGTAAAAAAAGGACGTGATTATACTAAGTCCTTACTATCATCTTTTAAATATTCACATTACAAACAATTAAAAATAGAACGTGACAACACTTCTAGATAAGATATATTACATTTAAGGATAACCAGCCTTTTCAAATGTTCAACAAAAGTTATATCTAGCATTTTTGAGTGTTCTTCCGTTCATTTAGTGTATCAATCCTGCATTTAAAAGTATAATTTTCACCGAAGACATTATTTTAACCATCTAAAGGTATCTACGTGTCTTCTGCGGACGCATCAGTGTAGTGTAACCCAACTTGCTGGACGCGTTAGAGTTTGCAATAAATGTTCAGCGAAAATGATACAATTAGATGCAGATATTTAATCACCAAATGAACAGGAAAATACCGGATATTGCATATATATTATACATTGAGAGGAAGATGTGTTACGAATTCACGGGCACGTGTCCTACCTCCTAAATACAGGCTTATATATATATACATAATATTTTGTTGTAACAAGTTGAACACATTCGTTGCCAAACTATCAAATAAATGGAAAATGAAGAAAACTTTATAACAACTTTCAACCACTAGTACATGATAATCTTCAATTTTATCTATTATTGTTTGACTGGTCATAAAGTAACACTTCCATTTATGCTTTAATTCTAGCTCAAATTCTTGTATACTGTTATGAAAGAATAAAAATGTGGTATTGTTTCAGATCAGTATGAAGTTCATCCAGCATGACACACTTGTGAATTGTCGTTCAATGTGACGTTATTTCAGGTTAATATTCTTGTATCGATTAAGTATAAATTTCATTCAATATGACGAGTGTGAACTTTTGTAACTATTTTTCGCATCATTATTTACATTTTTATTGCTTCATTAGTAGACAACAATGTTGTTAGATTTCTATATACCTCCTATTGTAAGGTTTTAGTGGATCTATTGAATGTCGCTATAGGTTTTACAATCCTTTAGTTATTGTTAATTAATTATGTACTGCTTGTTTAGCTCTCTATTCCTTATGGTATGATTTCTAACTTGGTAGGATGTGTGCTCATTCATTTTAAGTATATTATTTGTATGTGTTTTGAGTAATGAATTGAAATGATTAAGATAGAGAACAAATCTGCTTTTTGTCTGCGTCTTCTGACTGGCTACTGAGTTGGAAGGAGCTCAAGGACCAATAAGCTTTAAGGTCCTGAGTGTTGTACATCGACTGATATGTCAGTTCGTGAATTAGAAAATCGATCCTCCTGCTCATAAGTGAACTAATCGTTAATCGGGATCTATGATTAGGTAATATAACAAGTGATATCGATCGGAATTTTAAGTCACAACACGTTCAACGTGAAATATCCACTGCACTGATTAAGGTAAACTATATTCTGTGTTTCTGCAGTAATTTATGTATATTTCCTTATATGTGACGATAGTACGTGTGTGAGAACCAGTATATAGATGAGTGTACTTTAGTTTTGGGAATGTTATTTTACAGAGTAAGTAAATCTTCATTTCCACAAGTCATCCGTACGTTTACTTCCTTTTGTGGGAATTTCAGTAGTTATGATCTTCAAGTAGGACAGAAGATACAGCAGTAGGGTGATGCAGACAAAGTATATACAGAATTATGTCCATTAAGAAGATGTACGAACGGTAGAATATAATAATAATAAAAATTTGTATATTGAAACAAATATTGTTCACCGTATATATGTGTATTAACTTACTGAACTACTGAGAACTGATGAAACAGAATTAAAAGCATTAGACTCGTTTACTGGATAGGCATTTCGTGACACCCGCAAACAATTTTGGTCTGACTGTAGACTTTTGACTCGTTGATCATGATTAATTCTTGGAGATTCTGTATTTGTAAGACTAGTAAATTCATTTGATTTTGACAACTGAACAAGAATTTTATTCAGACGTGAATAGGCTGTCGCGTCACAAATCGACGAATCATGATCACTTAAACGATTAAGTAATTTTACAAGCTTTTTATCATTATTGCTTACTTCACGACCTGCCTGAAAATAATCTTCAATAGTATTTAAGCACCAGAGCCAACCCCGTTTACACCATTCAATGCATAAAGAAGAGATGTCTTTTGAATCATTTGAAACACCACACCAACTGTTGTAATTTGACGGTATTAAAAACAAGATATGAGAACCAGTATATTCTGTTTTATTGCACTGCATATTTCGATTCACCATAGGACTGATATGAAAATTAAATGATTAAAATCAGTAACATACAATAAGAAATACTAAAAAAATAGACAATAAATACTTGTACACAGCACTGCTTGTATTACATTCGACTGTAAAATAATTATGAACAAATATTAACCGTACGTTTTGATTGTGATAATGATATCTGATAAAAGAATCACATAATGCTATAAAAATAACCATTGACATATGAAAGTTTAGTAATTATTTGAGGGCATTCATATGAGACACTAACTGTTATATACCCTTGAAATGGATATAATTATCAAACGAAATGATAGCCAAGAAATGAGCATACAAGCGGTAATATGTTGTCCGTTGTTTAGAAATATGAGGACAAGTTATAGTAGCCAAATTAATTACCTTACATTTACGTTACTGTTAAATGTTGAAATACTAGATTTAGCAGATGAGATAACTTAGGTGGAAATGTATTGAAGAGCTAGTTTACAAACATAACACAAGGTATGGTTATTTCTTAAATTGAAGTTTTGATTGATTATCACTAAGGATTAATTAGACTAAGGAAAGGGGGCAAGTGGAGTTTATTTCTGGAAATCTCGACATTTTCCCATAATAAAGATGAAATAACAAGGGATGTTTTATTTTTTTATCAAGGAATGTATAGATTATTTTGAGAAGTACTAAAATCCAGAATAAATAAATGTCACAGTTATCTAGTTAATATTTATAGGAAAAAGCTTACCTAAAACAACGATTTGTGCCAAATTTTTTGTAACCCGAACAAAAAGAAGCATTGTGTGATTGAATGACTGGAGTACTTTGTTCAGCTGAAAAACCTAAGATATGATTCTTCAAAGCAAATAACCAGTATTGTAAAGGCCATGATTCGAAAGTTTCCAGTCGATTGAATGAACAATAGTTCATTAAATTAGTGAGACCTTGAGCAACTCGAAACAAAAAAGGTGGACTCATAATACCACCTTCATAATTTAGACAGCGAGTAGGATGGAATATAAGTCGTAGTTGATTCAGACCACACTGAAAAAACGCACGATTATCGTCCTCCAATTTATTCCTGTAGAAATGAAACACACAATTGCAATTTTACACAGGAATAACGAAAATAATTATATCAGATGTTTAAAATGTGAACAAATCAAATGTATACAATAAATCCTTGATACAAACGATTGCTACAGTGAACCAAGAACCAAACCAGAGAGTCAGGCTTTAATTTCACTGGATCATGAATAACCCATGAAACTTGTACCTTTTGATGGGTACAAAAATAATTGGTCATGTTTATTCTTGCATCCAATAATTGTCACACATGAGCATGTAACGAGATTTCGTGGGTTACCAGTCAGTAATACCGTATTAGAGAGTAATATTTATTGATAAACATTGTTCGTAATGTAAACAACTCAATCCGTTTGTTTATTTATCTAAACATAAACATTAATACGTAAAAGGTACTAAAATATATACGCGTCACACAAAGTAGATATCAGTAAATTTGTGAGGGCTGGAATACTGCCCGGGTGCCTAAACCGAAGCGGGAGTCACTCACCAAGCGTTTGACTTAGAAGTCTAAACAACAAGGCAGTGGAGCAACGTTAAGAAATGCAGTCCCATGGTGGCTGGGAACAAAGAATAGGTTCATAATCCATCTGTTCCATCAGAAACATGGAGTCTATGCTTATCACTGGTTTGTAATCAGAGTTTTCCAACTCCTCTAGCTGGACCCCCTTAGCCACCAACCCGGTTTAAGAACTGGATATTCACTTTTTGCCCTCCTAATTTCGTAAACAACACCCGTGCCATGAGAAAGCAGAATAGGACTTCCCTAGCAGTATCTATAAATGCGTGGATTATCACTGTTGGCTGTAACAGGGCATTTGGAGGTATATATATATATATGCTCGAACTAACCCTTTATAACAGCGATTTCCCGATCCGACAGAGGAGAAACGATGCTCTACTAGTTTTAAGACGGAAATTAATGTTTGAACACCAACTAAATGATAACCACTGCAGACGATGTCAAACAAAATCTCTAACAGTAACACATATGTAGGCGTTAAGTTCATGTAATCGTTCACACATTAATGAACGTAGATTCCCTGGAAGCATTAAAATTCAAAGATTTTAGTGCGCCCCAATATATTTCGACAGAAAATTTACTACTTAGTTCATAGAGCGGCATTTCATTGGCCAAGGCCCCCAACCCTCAGTTACTAAGTACTACGTTCGAACCCCGCTCCAACAACATAACAGTTTGGGCAAGCAGATTATATTATTAGCTTCCACCACATTTTGAAAGTGACTCGAAACCAAGTACACGACTCTGTGCCAGGTGAGTGAATCAAAATTTTTAAAAAGTGAGATTGAAGTTAATTGGTTGTCAACTTTTGATTTCAATTGTACTCTAATATTTAACACAAAGTTTCGTACCAATTCATTATACTTTTAAATACAATTATATTAAATCTGGCATAAAGGTATCGACATTAGGATATATTTTTTCAAGAGTTATATTGAAGAGAACTTAGAACCAAACATAGTGTATTATACTACTGAAGTAAAGCCAAACGTACTGTGAACTAAATTCTAATGTATTCTTGGTAAGTAATGACCACCATGAACGCTGTGTAGAAGTGGCAAGTTGCACAGTAGGTATCAAACACAAAGGCAGGAAGAGAAAATCGAGTCCGACACCTGAAATGGTTGAGTTAAATGCTAACTGTGACCTAAGAGATTGTGCGTAATTTGAGTTTGTTTTGGAAAGACTTCGTGTAGAAATATGAAGAAAACACGTGATCAGAAAACAAATTACGTCGATTTGATAAAGTTGATCAACATTTGCGGTTGAATCAGATTTAAGCTCAAAGGTGATCCAAAAACAGGTGATGGACAAGAAAACTCCAACTTGGGAAATAGTTTTTTTACCGCTGTAAAGAATTAGATAAGTTTAGATAAGTCTAGTAAAAAATAAATTATTATATGAACTTTCGAAGCATGAAATCAGTTAGTTCTTATAATGTATCTAAAAAGGACACAGAACCGATATCTTTACATTTTCGGTGATAAGTTAGTCAGTCAGGTAGTCATAAACAACGTAGAATCTGAACAAGTGTGTGCTATATCCGAATGAGGACTAAAATAATGATAACTTCCAAGACTGATTTATGGACAATTACACATATATGGCCATAAGCTTTCAGTTGACTCACTAACTACTGTTATGCGATTTACTGTTCTTAGTCTATTGCCAATTTACTATTTGTAATCTCCATTAGCCAAAGCCGCTTTTGGCATGATCATATATAACTGTTATCTTTTATTCTATGTTGTGAAGTGGTCGGCTATGTCTGTATGTAAACTACGTATGCTTGAATGTAGTATTCGCATAATGGAGGTTGATTACTGTGTTCTGAACTCAGTGGGCGGGGCAGGGAGAGAAGCTACCGAATCGAAGACCAATACGAAATTAGCCGTTGACATACTGTTGAAACGAATTCCAATTGACGCTTTTATCACCTGACAGGGCTGTTAAGTCATAGCTTACTTAATTACGCCTGTTACTTCTAGTGAAAGAGCCTAGACCGACCGCCAGCATTTTCCATCGAACTCTGTCCCGGGTGATCCTTTCCAGTTGCTATCCATCTTTTTGATATTTGCTTTTGATTACTGACGCAGTGTGTTCCTAAGTTTTCCTCTTTTCCGTTTCTTTTTAAGATTCTAAGTCATGACTCACCTCATGATAAAGTTTGATGGTTTCTACAATGTGTTTTCTACCCACCTCCAACCTCTTCTCGTAACTTTTTCTTCAGCTGGAAGCTAGTTTATCATCTCCCTGTTGCTGATGGCAACCGGCCAACGGACATTGATTATCCTGCGCAGACAATTGTTTCTTCGTCTTTGAGTAGATCTTGTAAGGCTTGGAACTTGTTGTTGAGTTATCTTGAATTCGTTGAGTTTTCCAGTATTTCGAAGGACGGCTTTATTGGACATTTGTAATGCTGTTTTCTCAGTTGTCCAGCGCTCCTTTAGCTTCAGTTTCACCTTGGTAACCACCAGGTAGTGATCTGAAGCCACGTCAGCTCTTTCCTGGTTCTCAGATCTTCAATTGACCTTGTGGTTTTCTTTAGTAATGCAAATATGATTGATCTGGTTCTTTGTAGTGTGATCCGGTGAGACCCAAGCAGTTTTGTGCACGTGTTCGTGGGGGGAATACAGTGCCGCTTGTAACCATTTTGGTAAATGCACATAGTTATGCAAACCTCTCCCCATCTTTGTTTTTTTCTCCCAGTCAGCCCATGTCGTCTAAGGATATCTTCATAGCCATTGTTGCTTATCCCGACTTTAGCGTTTAGGTCTCCCATCAGGATGGTCAGGTCCTTTGCTGAGCACTTTGCTATGATAGGTTGCAGCATCTTGAAAAACTGATCTTATCGTTGTTATCGTTATCATTGGTGTGTGCACAACATTGGATAACATTCCCTGTGAATCCCTCCTTATTTGTTTTAATGATGCTTAGATGATTCTGAGTCTATGAGATCCCCATCCTACAAGTGCTTTACTTGCTTCTTTGGACATCATCAGAGCAACTCCCTGAGTGTATGGAACATTTTCTTTTTTGTAGCCAAAGTACAGCAGCATCTCTCCAGAATCTAACCTGTTCTGTCTAGCTTGGGTCCAATGGGTTTCACTGATTCCGAACACCGCTAAGTTGTATCACCCCATCTCCGTAGCTGTCTGATTAGTCCTCCCGGTTTTCCACATTGTCCGGACATTCCATGTACCTATATTATTTTTGCTATGGTTGTTAATTTATAACTGTGTACTAACTCAAGTTACCACTATTCTCAGAAGCATAACAAGGGGAAGTTAACAAAAAGAGCAATATAGAAATAATAATACTGACAGTGGCATATTGAACATTTAAAATATCATTTAATGACTATGACTGAAATAATATTATTTAGTAAGATACTATTTACACAAATGTGCATTTGAGTAATTATAATCAAATGTGCTAAAAATCAATAGGCTTAAAATCTGAATAATAATGTGAAATTGAAAATGAATAGATGTCGCTCCACAAGTAGCATGGATATATTCAAAAGTTTGTAAGAACAAGTGATTAGTAAATGACTACTGATACAAAAAATATGCAGTATTAGTGTAAGCATCATTAAGTAATGATAAATAACTTAAATAATGGGATTTATTTACCATGTATAGATATTCATGTAATCATCTATGAACTACATTTTTTTAAGTCTAGCAGCTAGTGAAGCTATTCAGTTGCCCAGAATAAAGTGGGTGAGGTCGTGCCTTAACCTACGATCCAATGGTTGAATGCTGGATACTTCAACTACAGAGCGAACGCCCAAGCCCAAGTATCTACGCTGTCGAATGGCGCAGTAATGGTTACAACATTCGACATTTAACCATTAAGTCGAACATCAAAACCGCACTCCACCTGCTCCGGTTTGAACAATCAAAGTGTAACATTAGCACTTACAAAAAGTGTAATTCAAAGTGAAGTATATATAAGGCTGTAGTTTCTAAATGAGTTAGGATAGTGCACACTACGTAACATCTTACACCGCATTCTCGAAATAGAGGGTTAGTAAGTGATTTAGACACTAAAATCAATAGTCGAACCCTCAGTTGACAACGGCTAAACTGCCATCGTACAGCAGATGCAATTACACTTTAAATCCCTGTGCAGACAAGACACATTACTTCATACACGTATCTTTCCTGAACAGTTTTACGTTTGTGGAATAATTTGTGACGACGCACATTACGTCTGGTTCTACGTTCATAACAAATGGTAAGACAATGAAAATTATCCAGATTATCATCGAAAATACTTCTATAGGCGGTTGAGTAACAGATTCAAGTTGCACAACTTCTAGAGATACAGAAAACTGAAGGAATATTGCATTTCACTTCGCGTCTAAAATGATCAAACACATTTAATAATACTGACAGAAAATTTTTGGTGAACACTCAAGTACTTCGTAGTTTTAATAGTAGCAAAAACTAAAACAACATATTTAAATACAGTTCGATTAAGACCTATGGGGTGATAGTAAATGAACTTACATTTAAGCAGAAATTCCAGTCTAGGCAAGCTGAGAGTAAAATCCTCGTCACTTACATTCAAGAATGATAACTGTTGAGCACAAATCCACAGTATAAGATTTAAACAATCAGGGGATGTTAAGTATTCTGAAGACAGGAAAAATTTTCTGGATAAAAATTCGACAAATTACTTAAATAAAAACTATTCCTAAAAACTGGTCAAAGTTGCACGAGAAACATATACGCAATAACAGACAATAATCGCATTGAAAATTAGAGCAGTCCATAGTGGAATGGATAAACAAAGTACTAAAGTCAAAAAGCCTGCTCTAAGATGTACAACATTCGATTATATTGTATGGTATACAACACCTTAGGCAAAAGGATGGAAGAGAATTCATATGTGTATATCACTAGTGCTACTTGGCAAATGTGGTTTCTGAATATACACCTAAACTTTTGGGTCGGACAGTTACCGACGGATGAATAAATTAACATCAAAAATTGAACGTAGTATTATAATCATTATTATTGTACGAGCCTTTTTCCAACGCATACGCTAACCAGGCACATTTTAATAAATAGCTTTTTGCTGTACAAGCTAAAAAGCAGTCAACATAAAGAATTCCCGTCATCAGTATTGTGTTTCTTACTTAATGCTACAACAACTGAGAGAACAAAGTTAGGCTAAATTATTGATTACAAAGACACAATGTTAGTTGACATAGATGCAGGTTGGAAAAAGCTAGGGGATACCAAGCCAAGGCTTGGTATTAATGCGTCAACTACTACGCTTTACGTTGCATGTGACTGACATTGACTGCTACTTTGAGTCATGTTGATAAATGTAAACTACCTGATTGGAGTCTGCGCAACTACTGTGGTTGGAGACGACAGGTGATATATGTAGATGTATTCACTTTGCTTACCACAAAATCCTGATTTTTAAAATTATTTTAAACGTTTTACCTCACAAACTTATTTTTCCGAATCGTTTTTTGATTAATCTTTCTTATCACTGATACTGCTGATGGATCTATGACATGATGTAGTGTAGCCGATACATATTTGTGCTAGGTCGTTACGTTACATATGGCATTGACATTGAAAAGAGGGGTATCGGCAAAATAAATCAAACTGGAGCTTATGTGAATTGCATATTTTTTTCGGACTGAGTGGGAAAAAAATTTGGTCAGATAATACAATAATTAGTTAGATCTGGTAATCTATAAAATGTTAGACCTTTGGAGCTTACCGTCAAGGGAACCATGCATTTCAAAGGTTTTGGATGATTTCTGGTCATCTGTATCAAAACTATATATATCCAATGTGGAGATTTCAGATAACATAACGTCATCAGTCAAACTAATTAGCTCCTTCCACGTTAACGTATTCAAGCTGATCGCGTTCTCCTTATCAGGTTTTGTTTTATTAAGTGAGGTTGAAAATAAGTGAACCAGGTAAGTAGCCTGAGTACAAATTGAAGAACATTCTCGACGAAGATGATGTCGAAGTGAAGCAGAGATATTGGAAGACGCAGGTGTAACATCGGGCTGTCGAGCATTACTTACACGTTGATAAAAGTGGAATGCGAGGAAGTGTGGAAAATCTGAAGACTAAGCAGCAAAATAACAATGAGTTAAGTTTTGAAACAAATTGTTCATCATTAAGTGAAATATCTTTAGCATTACAGTTACTGATCCATACGAGAGTGGAATCTTATAAAGCACTTGCACTTAAAATCAACTCGGTAAGCAACGTCTTAAAAACAATTTCTTGCGTTACAACCTTAATTGACACATTGTTGTGAAGCGTTCTATGTCGGACACTTGCTAGTAAAACCGTCCGAAACTCCTTTAAGTAGCCATAAGCTGTATGAATTGACCTCTCAAGTAGAGAGCACGCATTATACGCCCTTGTCGTAACGTCAGGTATTCGCGAATTCTTCCAACCCCAACAATGAACCACGAAAGCGATTAATGTAGATAGTAACTAAATTATAAAAACACTTTTTAATTAAATTTACAAGAGAAGTCAAACACTTTAACCCTGTTTCACAGTTCTATTGTACGCCAAAGGTTAAGGTCGTGTTGGCTGTTTTATAATTCAACGTCTTATATTTCTCTCATCTGCAATTGACCATCTAGAGATTCCCACAAAAACAATTAAAAGACTGGGACTAAGTTGTTTACATCTAGGGAAACTTTTTCTTGAATCGAATAGTGTATTAGGAAAGTTAACTACTCAAACACATAGTACCAGCATCTGTTCACAACTTTGAAGTAGAAATGAACCCTAGAGGCACTGTGTTATCTGAACCGAATGATTCGTAACTCCATACTACTGAGGATTGAGAAAGATTACCATAAGATACCAAATATTCGCTAAAATGACACAGTTCTAGTCAGCTACTTAGTAGATTGCATAATAAAACTAACCTCAGTACATTTATTCATAAAACGCCGTTGAGCATAAACACCACCATAGAAATTAAGCCAAATAACAGCGAATTCGTTAAGCATACTTGAACCTTTAGATTTTAATTTACTAAGTTCACTAGAGACTGCTTCTAGCTGGATGAGTAACTGATGCATATCAGACAAACAGGAAGTTTGTGATGTCACACGAATCAACTCCATCAAACAAACTGCACGAACCAAACATAACGACTCCAAAGGTAGTTCTGCTTTAGAGATGGAAAGTTTTGCAGGCTAAACGTGACTTATAACTAAGGAGGGCACTTACTTCCAGAAGACTCAGGCAGTTATGAAACCAGCCAGCAATACCGATATGTCGTCCAGCATTAATGCAGTTCAAACAGCGTGAAAATCCATCTACAATAGTTCCTGACTTGCAAAGCAAGTTAACAAGTCGAATACAGACTTCGGAATCACTCTCATCTTTTTGCTAAAAAGAAATGGTAAAATGACGAAATAGCATACCAACTGAGATTCCAAAAGTTTTAACAATTCTGAGACTTTGTCGCCGCGAGTCAAGACTTTTTCCTAGAGACATGAGATTGCTGTAATAACAAATACTTTTAACAGAAATGTTATTTTTTCGGAAGGAAACATGTCTTGTGCTACACCGGACCAGAACTAAACAATTATAAAGTGTAAAGAAAGTACCTCAACTTCCGAAATATCTTGTGACTCCTGCGCCAGAAGACAAGCTTAAAACTAATGAGCGAAAATGAGACACATACCATGCAGTGCAGTGCTTTTATCGAGATTGGTCAGTGTCCGAAGGGACTTGTAGGTCCCTAAGGCTCCTGATAAATCATCCATATCCTCCTGAATTTTCGCCAAAAGAGTGTACGCAGGTACAGAATCGGGTCTAAACTCCAAGTAACCTTCAACATAACTGCAGAAATAGCTGATAACAAGTCCACTGACCTCTTAGCTGTTGTGAATTCACTGACGCCATGGTAAAGTTTTGCTATCTCAAGAGCCTTCGATTTTCTCTAAACATACGTAAAAATTGAAAATTATCCTCACCTCGTTAAGATTACAACATCTAGCAAGAAGATGATAAACATGTTTATCAACCTGCTCCTTATTACCCAACATGCCCAAATTTTTTGAATACGAAGTGTCCTTTACTATACAATCAAACAAACACTTTGTAGGAAACACATCTTGATAGAAGAACTTTCACCTTGATTTTCAACAGTTCTGCTAGGCACCATTTAGATCATGGAAATATATTTTTTCCTTCCTCACTCCGAAATGATAAGAGTGCTCTAGAATCTATCCGACAGTGAGGGAAAATTGATTAGGAAGATCAAATTTAACCTTACAAGGAATGTTTTAAGGCAATGGAGCTTTGCCTTGCGAAATATAGCCGACACAATTGCGATCTCTTCAAGACGTAAAACACCCGAAATATCCCTGGCTCGGTTTCACTACGAGCATAAGGGAAATATATAGGAATCAAAGATGCAACATGGCATCACTTACAACATGGGTTCCTGAAATAATTTTAAGTTTCCTCACACCCCAACTACTCACAGCAATATGACGAGATATAATTAATCAGTTATCTTTATCGAACATTTGAAGCATCCGAAAATTTCCAGCAAGAGACATTAATTTCCAGTTGGTTACAACGTAGTGGGTGAGGCAGTCATAAAACAAGGATTGATGCAAGCCCTTCATGTTTAGATTTACAAGAGATCTAAATATCCTTACCTCACTCAGCACTTGGTTCAGATTGGTACAATCGTATGACACTGTAGCGGTAAATAAATCCCCAAAATAAATAGCCCTGTAAGTTTTCGACATTGGATGCTGACCATATGTTTTAGTGGACTCATCTAGCTGAAGGCGCTCGGTCATGCATCCACACCAGATCATGTGTGGTAACGCCGTGCTCAACATCAACCGCAATCGCTAGCCAGATTAGATCAGAGAATTCCGATATATTGGTCGTCGCCTAATATACTCTTCCGATCTCCTCGACTCTGTCTTTTGATTTCTCTGGGTGGGAACGAATTATATTAGGTGTTACTGGTAAAAGCGTTGTCAAACACTGAATACCTGTGACATCATCATTGGTGAGCACGACGTTTCTGCGACGGACATGTTGCAACGGATGAGAGAGGTTATAGGCCCAAGAACTTTCGACGAAGGTCTATTCAAACAACTCTTCTTGTCAAAACTTCCCAACAGGTGCAAACAGTTCTGGTCTCGTTTCAGAACAACGCCTTAGACGAGCTAGCTGCATCTGCCGACCGCATTTTAGAAATTACGAAACCTTCTACTACTGAGGTATTTTCAGTCAAAGAAAAACCTCAAACGACTCAGAATGCTATAACCGAGTTATGTCGCACACTCACGCGTTATCTTAGTCTTCGTACCGACCGTAAGAGATCACGCACCTCATGTAGAAGCATTTCACGTAAGCAATCTGTCTCTAGACCACGAGAGACAGATAACCCCGACTGGTGCTGGTATCATAACCAGTATGGAAAGTTTTCCAGAAATTGCAGAAAACCCTGCAATTTTCCCAACACGAAACCGAGTGACTCGAAAAACAACTCGGGAAACTTCTAAGCCGGCACGCGTTAACGGCAACCGTAGCCGGCGAACATAGCCGTCAGTTATACGTCACAGATGTGACAACGAGAGTTCGCTACCTCGTCGACACTGACGCAGAAGTTAGCGTTCTCCTAGCGAATTCCAACGACCGACTACACGAATCGACCCTAAACTTACAGGCGGCAAACGGAAAAACGATCGCTACGTATGGCAAAATGTACGTTTACCTTAACGTGGGTTTACACAAACCCATTCACTGGATCTTCGTTATTGCGGATATTTCTATGCCAATCATTGGTATGGATCTTCTACAACATCACAATCTGATCATCGATACGCGCAAACTGAGGCTAGTAGACGGATACACTAATTTGTCCGTTTGCGTAACTTCCCTTCGGACTCTATGAATTTTTGCGAATGCCTTTCGGTCTAAGGAATGCTACTCAAACATTCCAAAGATTCATAGACGACGTTTTTCGAGGTCTCAACTTCGTACACGCGTATGTTGACGACTGTCTAATCGCAAGTCCGGACAGAGAAACACATCTCAAGCATCTGGATCTTGTTTTCGAACGACTACAAAAACATGGCATTACTGTAAACGTTCAGAAATGCCAAATTGAAACCGACTCATTAGACTTTCTGGGACACACTATCGATGCTCAAGGTATCCGACCCCTTAGAACCAAAGTGGCGGCCATTCTGGATTACCCAGAACCGACCACCGTCAAGCAATTACGCACGTTTAACGGCCTCGTAAGTTTCTATAGACGTTTTATACCGAAATGCGCATTACTCATGAAACCGCTAACCGACCAACTTCGTGGAAATGCGAAATCCATTAATTTGGACGACACCGCACGAAAAGCATTCTCCACAGTTAAGGAACTGATCGCTAAAGCAACAATGCTCGCACATCAGGACACCGTAGCACCCATTAGTATTGCAGTAGACGCATCGGACTCGGCAATCGGTGGCGTCTTACAACAATGGGTTAACAACTCCTGGCAACCATTAGCATTTTTCTCTAGACGGTTGCTAGACACTGAATCGAGGTACAGCACATTCGGTAGGGAACTCCTAGCTATGTATTGTGCTGTACGACATTTTCAATACTACATCGAAGGTCGTGAATTCACTCCTTTCACGGACCATAAACCGCTCACTTTCTCGTTAAGCTCTCCTTCATACAAGTACTCTCCCCGTGAGTCTCGACAACTGGACTACATTTCGCAGTTTACGTCAGATATTCAATACATCTCTGGAGCAAACAATGTAGTTGCAGACGCCTTATCTCGCATAACTTCCTTGGACAGTTTCCAAGGATTCGACCTTCTGAAACTCGCCGAGCTTCAAAAAGAAGACACTGATCTTCAGTACGAGTTATCGTCCACAACCCTTAAACTACGCATCAAACAGATGCGAACAGGTAGGGAAACCTTACTTTGTGACACATCTACAGGTAGGGATCGCCCAATCGTACCGAAACATTATCGATGCAATGTCTTCAATACATTGCACAAACTTTCTCATCCAGGTGTCCATGCAACCATCAAGCATATAGCAGAACGGTTTTGCTGGCCTGGAATGAATAGAGACGTGAGGGAATGGGCACGCTCCTGTGTAAGCTGCCAAAAATCTAAGGTTATCAGACACAATAAATGTCCCTTAGGCTCATTTAAAACTCCCGATGCTCGTTTCGACCATGTTCATCTGGATTTGGTAGGACCTTTACCAGATTCAAATGGATACTCTTACCTCTTAACCTGCGTAGACCGTTTCACTCGATGGCCAGAAGCAGTACCTATCAAAGACATCACTGCTGAAACAGTGGCCCGCACATTCGTCGAACGATGGGTAGCAAACTTCGGCTGCCCTCCAACCATCACTACAGACCGCGGACGTCAGTTTGAATCTGATCTTTTCCGTCGTCTGATCACACTTTTAGGAATCATTCGATTCCGAACGACCGCCTACCATCCACAAGCAAACGGGTTGGTAAAACGTTTTCACCGACAACTAAAAGCTTCACTATCAGCTGCAAACGTTTCACAGTGGACCGACGCTCTTCCATTCGTCTTACTGGGTATCCGCAATGCAGTGAAAGCTGACATTGGATACACTGCGGCTCAACTCGTTTATGGAACGACACTTCGACTTCCAGGAGAATTCGTGGATCCTTCATCCTCTTCAATGAACATGGATCTAACCTCCTACACGAACAGGCTTACAAACGCAATGCGTTCAGTTAAACCTGCTTCAACTCGACCTCAATCAACTGATGTTTTCGTTCAACCTGACTTACGATATAGTACACACGTTTTCGTTCGTCGAGACTCGCATCGACGACCATTCGATTCCGCATACGAAGGACCCTTCAAAGTTCTTCAACGCGAACCGAAGTACTATATAATCGATAAGAACGAAACCAACGATAGCATCAGCATCGATCGCTTAAAAGCAGCGTATTTAGAAGGAAATCCTATCCACGTCGATTTTCCTTCGGTACAATCTCACAACACAACTCCTACACTCATAATTCCTCAACCGACAACCAACATTAGAGATGATACTCCGAATGTATCTCAAAATAAACCTAAAACGACGCGTTCTGGAAGAAGAGTAAGATTTCCAGAACATTTAAACGACTACTGCACGTAAGGCACTACTCGACATTTTATATTATCTCGATTTTTCTTTTTACGATATATAATTTTTTTTAAAAAAAAGACAATTTTAATATACTTATATATTTATATTTTTAATTAAAAAAAAAACAAAACATAAAAAAATATTTTTTTAACGCAATTACGTGTGCTTGAGTATATTTTCCATTTTATCGCCGACATTGTGTTTTTACGCACATACGAGTGTATTTCGACATGCACTTACACTTTCTTTTTTCTTTTCTAGGACGGCTGGAAAAGAACGATGCAGTTTACGAGGAGTCGAAATTTTCGTTGTAACTATGTTGTACCTCGGTCCCATATAGTAAGGAAAGACGATCAGACGCTGCTACACTTAGTAAGCTATCAGAAGAGTGTTTACCAACGACAAACTCGTTGGGTTTAAACTTCTGGCTGGCCACGTCTTAGGGTCGTCACTGCCCCACTAGGGGGGTGATCTGTAGCGGTAAATAAATCCCCAAAATAAATAGCCCTGTAAGTTTTCGACATTGGATGCTGACCATATGTTTTAGTGGACTCATCTAGCTGAAGGCGCTCGGTCATGCATCCACACCAGATCATGTGTGGTAACGCCGTGCTCAACATCAACCGCAATCGCTAGCCAGATTAGATCAGAGAATTCCGATATATTGGTCGTCGCCTAATATACTCTTCCGATCTCCTCGACTCTGTCTTTTGATTTCTCTGGGTGGGAACGAATTATATTAGGTGTTACTGGTAAAAGCGTTGTCAAACACTGAATACCTGTGACATCATCAACACAAAGTGCGAAACCATGGACAGATTCAACCACAGTACAAACCAACTCGATCGGTAAGAGACGCACAGAGACTGTTGACCGAA